TATCCCTTTTGACCGTCTAGACTCATACGTATTTTTGCCTTCCGTACGTAGTTTTTACTTGAAGTCTTTGCATATCATTGACCTAATTATCGATTTGTATATCAATTAGCCAATTTTAAGCATATTCATTCTTTTCCAAGTACCATTCAACATATTTCGCCTTGGTAATTAGATAGGTTTTCGGTGGCAACCGTGCATATCAATGATCGAATTTGCATATTAATCAGCCAAACTATTTGTTCTTGAGGACTAACATATATCGATGAATATTTATACATGGATGGTGCAATCCGGTCATATTAATTAACTTATTTGCATCTCAATATCTCGATATCTCAACTACTCATCAGATTTCAATGAAACTTGGTACATAGGTGCTCTGGGATAAGCCATATACATGTTTGGCTCAGGGTTAAATTTGTGCTTAATAACTACCCAATTTGCATAAATTAACAAGTTTATAGGTATTCCACATATATCTTGAGTACCAGTCATAACAATTCAATGAAACTTGGTATGTATGTGCTCTAGTATAAGCCATATACATGTTGCCTTAAGGTTAAATTAAACATCACCGCCCCACTAAAGTGTGTTCCATTAGTTCTGCACTGTATGTTTTTGAAGGAAGATTATGTCCGCTTTTTTCTGCAGTTTTTTTAAAAGGCGATTCGCGTGTTTTTTTTTTAAGAGACAGCACTCATGTGGTTATCACTCATTGACATACTTTATGTGGGAAAGGAAATGTACTAAGTGAAAACGAGATAAACACATGTAACACAGTCTGATGAAACATATACAACAGAATCCTGTACCTGGACGCAAATGACATACAAATATCTGACGAAGATAGTGCGCCCAGAGATGCTTAGTATTTAGAATACTCAATCCTCGCATAAAACTGTCAAATGAAATTAACAGCGGTGTATCTTTGACTTACTACATTCTGTCTATATAATTGTCCGTCAATGAAAAGTTTACTATTTCTAAACTAATCAGTAGCACCGTCTTCGTACGCCCAGGACATAATAGATTTCAGTTCCCATTTTCCTTTCTAGGCTGGCGCGACATAAATCGTTCGTAACGAAGATGTCGTTATTAACCAAAGCCTCATTTGCGTCACACTGTATCGTTAAGGACGGTAACGAAATTGTGCCTAATAGTAAGTTACTAGTTGACTCTAGTTAAATATAGAAAGTAACTTGTCCACTCCGGTTAATAACAATGAATTGGTTGGGACGGAGTCTTCTCCTGTATGAATAACACTTATACTCGTGCATGTATGCATTCAGTAGAAATCGATCTACTATTTCTGGGGGGGGGGGTATGTGAAGTAATTATACAAAGGAATTGTAGGCGGAACGACAGGGAAATAGAACTTAATTAAGAAGTTGAAGTTTACTTATTGTCATGCAATTGTAGATGCAGATCTGTTGTTAAGTTAAATAGTAATTTCTACAATTCACAATATCAAGTTATTTCCATTTAAGTAGTCCCTGGGTGGGTGGAGGACGCTATGGAAATCCCACACTCAATGCCATCGAATTGAAACACCTATCTGACAGAAAAGTAGTATTTTTTTTATATTTCCGACGTTATAATGAGTTGCAGACCTCGGCCACGATATATTCTGAATTCAAACATTGTCTTTATCGATTGCAATTGACTACGTGTACGAGAATAGGCACTACGTGATTGCATGCCAATCATAAAACAGAAACCTCAAATTTGGACGTTTTATTTGCTGAAATTTGAGCGACAGCAAATCCCATATTATTAAGCCAAAACAATGCTTAATGTATTTCCTACATTTAAATAACACATTTGGGCGCCAAAGTCAAAATCGTCTGCTTTCAACAACAACAACAAAAATGTTATCAAAGTCTAACCAAGTCTAAACCTATCCAAGGTCAATTTGGTCAATACTTAACGTTGAAATGACAGAAAAATATGTTGCATCAACATTTTGGCGGACAAATAGGGCGCTCAAAACTTAGATTGCTTGGCGATTCTAACAAAATGACGTAATGCATACTGAGTATACTCTATTCCAGGATGTAATAAGGGTTAATACATACGGGAATCTATTATCTTATCACGTAAGATTCTACAAAACTCAAATTGGTTTATCTGGAATGAGTTCACTACTTATATGCATCAAATTTGACTTGCACAATGTTAGTTCGCGCAGCTGTGTTTGTGTATTTTCTGTTCTTGAAAAATGCAGTATGAACACATTTGTTTGTCTCTGCTAGACATTTATGTAAACTAGATTCTGATAAGGTTTTGTTCGTATTTTATTAGTTGGAGCATTGGACACTGCAAACGTGCATGCGCTTTGAAAATTTGGTACGTATTATTAAATCTAATAACCTTTGGAAAGTACAATACTCTGTGAAACGAATAGTAACTGTTGTGAGCGTTATCTCAACGACTTAGTCATTCAGCGTACATTGGAATGTATGTACTAACTACTGTAGAGCTCGATTTGATTTTACTGAAAACCACTATGACGCGTTTTTGTCGTGGAACGCCTGGCTTTCTTGGTCATAAAGTGGAGACAATATCGTTGCATCTATGTACAGGTATACTCGCATTCTGACACTCACTCATCAATACGTACCATTTCCACTCCTCGCCGTGTCTTAGTTTCAGCGTTAGCGTTGTTTCACAAACGAGCCCCATTAGCGATACCAGTAGACACCAGTAAGACGGATCGTGTTTGACGTCAGCGACTCTCCAGATAGCCAAGATTCCGTGAACGGCGAACAACAAACGCACGATACATGCTTTTACTATGGTGATGATTGCCATAATGTAGACTACTCCATGCGCCTAGCCTTCAGTTGAGTTCCTTTAATTACTGCGTAATCATAATCATATGAAAACACACTCCGGTGCAGTGTGTTCGATTAAGTGTGTTAAGTTATGATGTGAGAAATCCGTGGTCGAGGTCCGGCTCTTACATCGTTAAGCCCAATGTCACGTGTCAATGTCACGTGTCAGTCGTTATTCTAACGGACGCTGAGTATATTACTTGCGGTGTTTGTTTAAGGAGAAACGCGTCAAAAATCAATCGTCAATTTACACACCATTCGTGAATCCACGTGTCTATCTATGCTCTGTGCCTTTTTCGCAATATTTGGGAGACATCAGTACTTTGGGTTAACGACTTATATTAGGTTGTGTAATAATACTGTGGTTGAGCAAAAATATACGCTTGAGTGTGTCCCACAAAACGCTTGAAGGTTTCCCAGAATAGATAGAAAGCAGATCTATTGTCTATGGATCTTTATTCAGCGGTGAGACAACGTACACATGGTAATACACTGCTCGCAAAATTGAGACTAATGTGCTCGAACCCATCCCCGACAAATGCATGATTTGAGTGCTGGGGAAGGACGCACTTAATAAAGAGTAAATGTGGCCTATTCTCGTTTCATCAAAACATTGCATAGCAACAAAATAAGCGCACAGCTGAAAGCGTTGCCCTTAGCGACCTTCTCGTATATTGATGAGCATGCGAAAATTCGTCTTCATAAACTGAACCTGTTCACACTATCTTAATAACATTCAAACCTATAGGGTTTCTTTTGTTATTTATTTATTCGCTCGGTTTGACTCTGGCAGACGAGAAATAAAGTCAACATTTCTTAACGAAGTTGAAGAATTCAGTGATTGCATGAATATTAACACGTGACATAATGGTTATTACAGTACAACGGTTTACTCCCTCGTATTGGCGTGTGTTCGTTTGACATCCTAGACATACCGATGAGGAGCAGCTCACATAGCCTACTTAACCGCAATATGTCCAATGTAAATTGTGTATGTTCCCACTGCACACGATTATGTGATCATTTCGCATAGCGCATCATCCTACGAGGGAGAGTGGCAATAAATTTAACAGCCAGTTTTGGCATTCAGGATTTCGTAAAAATACAATTATTGATCAGTTTCTGACGTATTTGCACCCAATCAGCATAAACACGTGAACAGTGTAAGCTATGCGTTCGTATATGCGTCAGAGTTTATTACGGAAAGGACGCCCTCAAACAATCGTTTTCATAGCGTTCTTGTTTGCTTTTCGTTATTGCTAAACATGCACAAATACAATCTAAAAAAATAACGTGACAGTTTTCTGTATCAATCATTCAATCAACGAATTACATTGTAATGGTTCCTAGAAGTACATAGGGTACTAACACGAACCTAATGAACTCATTGTTTATACAGTGAGTAAAACGACGTGACATCAGAGAATTTTGACGCACTCTCGGTTGAAACGCTGGAAAAACATCTCTTTGAGCAATTCTCACAAGGACAACAGCGTGAAAGGAACACAATCTGTCAGTCACGAAACACTCATATGTGACCAATATGACACTAACTAAATGGCAATGCTGTTGCGAAATAAACATCAATAATTAAACAACGCCAGATTTCAAAACAAGCACGCCATCAACGTCAATAGGTGGAAGTGAAAGTCATATGTTTTTACTATTTAAATGTTGTGAAACCCATTGCCTTAAATACATGTGTTAATTTACAGATTATACGCATTTTGGGAGACCCAAGGCCGCTTTTAAGTCAGGGATTTATTTAAATTTCGAAATTACAACTTCACATGGGAGTTCACCTACAGTAACGAGACAAATACTGCAGAACACATCTTGAATTTTCAAGGTGAATGTTCCGGCGAAGCACTCCACTATCACCTTGAAGTATTTCATTATTAGGAATATGTGTATGTGACAATGCCCTCACAGTTTGGAATCAGTTTACCAACAGCCAATCATATTGCTTCTTTCATCAACGCGCTTGACCAAGCTATCAACATTGTCGGGGCGGAGCTAAGTCACAAGACGCTATTAAAGACGCGCACCACTCTACCATGTATTTCTATGGGCTCTGCGCGAGCTGCTGTGGAACGCCGGTCGAAAAGCCGTTGAAAATAGCTAAAATCGAAAAAACAGCACAAACTTAACTTTAAAGAAATCCTAAACAACCAAATTTAAATATGTTGCATATGCAGGGTAATCTTGTTACACGGTTCAGGGGTGTCAACAACCATCCCAAAGTACTGTTTTCTGAGAGATTTTGGCCTTTATTTTCACCATGATGGTTGCCAGGCGGTGAAAATGCTCGCACAGTGGAAGCCGGCTGTGTTGGCTTGCAGTGGATGTCGAGGCAATACAATATTCGGACAAAAGCCGTCCAGGGTACTTAGTTCCGAGTTGATGTGTTCGTTTTAGTCGCACTGGAAATGGTAAACCATTATGTTATTATGCTTTACCAACCTTGCGACCATCAAGCGTGGTAATAGTGTGTCGCCACTATTGAGTATTATAGAAGAGTATACCTCAAAGCTCATTGTGTCACTGCAACATATATTGACAGAAATGAAGCCGAAGAAGATGTAGTCTGGTTCCCTGCCCAAGTTTTCACCTCAGCGTTGAAATGGGGCAGGGAACCAGACTAGCCGAAGATGAAGACATCAGAAATGCAAAGCCCCAAGCGCTTTTTGGTAGTCATTGTAACAAAGCTTTCTATTGGTCGGTAAATTTTCTATCGCGCAACCACGTGACATACACGGTTATGAATAGAATTACCGTGCAGGCGGACGATGTGCAGAACACTGAGAGAGCGCTATCACTCGACGTATGGAGCTGGGAACAGCCGCTGATGGCGCTGTATACAATCGAGACCTGATGAGGCTTGCCGTAGCTCATTTAGATTTGAGTGCAAACCGCAGAAACAGTTGTTAAATTTGGTGACCATTTTAGAATGATAGAAAACGTTTACAGTCTTCAAATAAACACAATAGAAAGAAGGGGCAAGACTGAATATACATGATTCCGGCGTTTCATTTTATATTCTTTCTATTAATATTTTCACTTTTAAATAATATTCATGAGATGTGTATAACGTCATAATTTCGTTAAAGGTTATTAGCATATTGTGTACGTGGTGCGCATGCTTCGGGCTCGTTTTCCGTATTCCACAACGCAGGCGTCATCACAGTGAAGTCAATTGAAGTTTACGTTCCATGCAACGTAACATTCAGCACCGTCAATGAGGTTTCACCACATTGATGGTGCTGAACGTTGTGTTCGTATTCGAAGCCCACACATAAGCGACGCTACCAGATATATACACCAGCTAACAAGCCACACCAACCCAGTGACTGCTGATGATCATTTGTAGACACTCCCACCATGTCATACGCTGTAATATACAATTGCAATTCTGGATTAAATACTAGTTTATTGCGGTTGTAAGGATGTAAGAGGACATCTCAAAAGGTTGTCAAATTGTCAGCATGGACAGGACTCCGTAAATTTCACATAAGTGTCGTTACAGGTGGCGAAGTGAAATAGTATTTGACCGCATTCAAAAAGTGCAGGGTACGTGCCTGGTTATGAAACAATATATTATTATAATAGCACAAAGCCAATATAATTCCTTGGGTGAAAAAGTTACCGTTTGGTTCCATGCTACTAATTTAACAATTTCGTGAAGCAAATTGACCATCGATTACCTTTAACAAGGTTATTCATATATTATCCATCAAATTGTTTGATAGTGTGGTCAGAATGAGTGATCTTTCGAATCCCAGTTCAAATAACATACCAATCCGAATATGGCGTCGGCGTCAACGCATCACTCAATGTAGAACAATCTCACGCAATATGTAATTACTTCCTTTTTACCAAACGCTTCAGCGTGGTATTAAGATTTTGTTTTCAGGCTTGGGTGGTACCAAGGTGGAAAATGGTTGCACATATGGGGGGTAATTCCTGGAATTGCAATAGAGAGGGTTCAGGCCGAAATACATATATAGAGTGTTTCCATGTTTCGTCTGATATTTCTGTGGTATTCTGCTGCTGTAAATAATGCAAGATTTGTTCCGAAATTCAGTGTGTTGTGTGCACTCCAGGGTTATCCGTTTTTTTGCTCAAAACACCCCTATTTTTTAATGGCAGAGTCGAATAGTTTCACTCCCACTGGGAAATCTGCATTGTTACTTGAATGAGAGCTAACTAAACACATTTTCCAGACCGGCGAAAGTGTATGCAACAGCCAATTTTAACAGCCTGTCACGTGATTTTAGTCTGAATGTCAACATCAAAAGAGGCTATCCATTTACGCAGGTATAACTGGGAATAGAATATGTGAGGGATTGTATCAACAGAGATGTGTATAATGAAAAGTAACATCTATCCTTCTTTTGCATCGCTGAGCATTTCTGTTTTAGTATACTGGTTTGAAAATGTTGAATTTGCTTGATT